AAACCATAGATGTTGAATGATGTTTAACCATCATCCGGCGTAATCCGTCTCTTGTTGATTTGGAAGATTTGGAATAAAATACATGTTTAAGTCTTATAGAAACAAAAATACTGTTAAGTGATATGCAACTGTGAAGATGGCAGCAGTTGACTAAACTCTAGACAATTCAGTATTTGATTGACTCGACAGCTTTCTCATGCCCAAAAAAAATCGAATAAAACTTTGGCAAATAATTAAAACATGGAAAACCAATCGATAGTTTTAACACCAAATCATAAATCTTTATCCCATAACTATACAAATGTGCATAAAACAGGCAATTATATTTATTGACAAAATCACTTACAACATTGGTGACGAGACTCTCTCCAGCGCTAATCCATTTTCTAGCAATCAATGAGTAACTTAAAGAGTTAAGCACAACCTCACAATACTGATATAAATATAAAAATTGAAGTAAGATTAATGACAAGTCTAGGATAATTACACTGGCCAAAGGCAATACGCACGCAACAAAATAAGCAAAAGCTAAAAAAGTTAATTAATCTTTGAACTTTTTTACTTCAGCCAATAAGGTTAAAAAATTTCTTTTGAAATTATTTAACTACTCAGTTCACCCAAAGAGATCATATATAACGAAACTTTATACTTGATAACAATTCTTTTGTCAGTTATGTTATCAATTTAGGGCTTTTTCTTATTGATCTAATCATCTTTTGGATTTACCATCAACCCATTCTGATTATATATTTAAGTTATGGTTGAATCAGTTGGTCATCGCTCAATTTAGAGTTAAAAATATTGATGTAATTATAACTGTGAGAATGCATCCATTGCAGTACCTTTTTCGCCAAGATTTCTGTACCTCTCGAGTTTGTTTTTTTTTTCGGATGAGTAAATGAGACTTCAAGAGAAAGAATTCAATAATGGAGTAGTGAAGACGGACGAACTAGAGAAGACATGAATTTAATGTCAATGCTTCTTTCAGTCTTACGAGCTTTTGTGCTATTTTAGTGGGGTACTTTCTCAGATACCACTACAAAGGTCAAAGATAAGATTAAATCACAAAACTAAACATTTCAATTTACTTTGTGATCATATAAATATGGGTTCACCATAGACATTTTACTTTTTCTTCCCACGAATGATCAGACATCACATCAAGTAATAATTTTAAATAAAGTTACTTGGTTTCTTTTCTTTTTAACTTGGTCTGAGTTACTTGATTCCAGAGTCTGACCTAATTAAAGAAATCACAAAAGAAAAAAAAGAAACTGTTTACGTACTCTTTTTTTTCTGACTGAAAAATTACACAAGTAAAAGATTAATAATGCTGTAGAAAGCCACTAGTTATAAATATTCTGAAACTATAATGTTGTATGTTTATATTATTTTTGTTGGTAAAATGTTGTATGCTTATATGAATAGAAGTCCATTTGATTTAATTGGATGTCCAACACTTCAAGCTAGTATATCACACTATGATATAGGCTGATACTAAGCAATAAATTCATCTTCAAGATTCAACAAAAAACACCTACATTTGTCACATAATGATTTGAATTAAGTTCGACATAATGATCTATAGAATTTTAAGTTTACGACTAGGTTCGGTTATATCTTATTTCATTCTCCTTTTTCATCTGGTGCATGCGATACATGTATATATGGATAAAAATAAACATAAGCATGCATGACCATCCATACTATATAGAGTATACCAAAATATGCTTCCATTTTCTCTAATTTTATGTAGGAAAACAGAATTACGAGCGGAAATGTATTTTCTTATAATGTAGCGTAAATCCGATCATACGATTTGAGGAAGAAGAAAACTCTTTTGTATATTAGTATATTACAAAAGAATATTAAATTGAAGTTAAGAAAATGGTAATCTTAAGAAACTCTTTTTAAAAATCACCCACTAATGATGCTCTTAATGACTGCCGATGTCTCCCGCCGACGCCACAACCTTCCGTATATTATTAGCAAAACGAAAAACTGCGAAAGACAGTGAAAGTACGGATTTCTAGAGTACCCAAATTCCAAAAGAACACCCTTTCTTGTATTTTGATATGACACACACGCATGATGCATCCATACCTAGTGCACCTGGCCACACCTTATTTTCGGTGGGGGAACATGTTGGAATATTACGTGTAAAAACACCAAGTAAAGAATATTACAAATCATCTAGATGACCACGAAAGTGTAAATATTCGTAGTTAGCCATTTAAACAATGAGAGTCTTTTAGTCCAAGAGTTCGAATCTTAAGACATTGAAATTCGGTATTAATCATGCACATTCCACATTTGAAATTAGTCAGCTTTTTTGGTAAACCCTAATTATCCAGCATATGCAAAAATACGAGTTTAAATCTAGTAAAAACTGTTTGCATTATAACTGACAGGACACCTTAGCTTTAATCTATCTTTTGTTATTTTAGAAACGGTGACTGATCGTAACCATTTGTGGGTCTATCGATTTGTCGAAACAAGACTTTGAATGTAATTTATTTAAACCACATTTATATCGCATTTTGAATCGTCGTAAAGCTAAAACACGTTTGTCAAATATAATAGATATACACACACTTTTTAGTCGAGCAACTTACCAAAGTATTTGACTCCTTAATGCAAAGAAATTGAGATTCTTACGCTATAAACATACGTATGCGTACGAGTTAATTGGTTAGGCACCCATTCTAAACCCTATCCGATTACAGCGTATATCAGCCATTAGATTTTTCTCATTTCTTAGTACCACGAAAAGGATAATTTGATTAAAGCATGTTTATATATCTTAACCGGTTAAATCATCTAACCAAAACATGTACTTGTGAATGATTTAAAAATAATTATCTTACAACTTATTTATTAGGAAATATATTTTACTTCATCTCCAATCAGTTATATACTAGTATCAGGTTTTTATTGTATTAGAATTATTTTGTTCAAATCAAACTTGCATGTAATCAACATTTGAATTCTTGTTTTTTCCGGATTGATTAAATGAGAGTATATATTAAGTTTTTTATCTGTAATTTTGAGAAATCATTTTCCTTTTTGCAGCTATCCATAAACTAATCTTGCGTAGACGTACGTTATTCTTTGTATACACTATCAACTCATACCGACCAATGGACTTTTCTTTAGAATATAATAGAACATTCAAAAACTAAACATTTACAAAAATTCATTCCCGACGAAAATCAATATTACGGTTTTTTTTTTTTTGATAAAGGGCTAAAATCATTATTACAGTTGAAAAAACAGAAGAAACATATTAAAGTTTCAATGTTCGCTACTGATTCAAACTGCTATGACAATCTTCACAGTTAGTTTTCTTCACTTCTTTTAGACACTAAATCATATGAACTGCATTTTAATTAACAATTATCTATGGGGTTGGCTTTAGTATGGTTTATATAAAGTTTCACGTTGATTGTGTGTTTCTCAAAAGAAAGAAACTGAAATCTCCAAAAGAAAGACGTCCACACCCAGCAAAGTGTTGAAATATACTCATTTGATTTACATGGATAATGAACAAAACAATTTGATCCCGCAAAATATAAATTATCGATTCAAAATGAACAACGTGAAGGCACCAAACTCGTACAAGAGCAACAATCCCGTACACGTGTCAACCTATCAAGTGTTGAGTCCAGCTGTCTGGTCCCCCCAGTATACAGTTCTTCTCGACGTGATAACGTTCCATCATAAAACAACGCAGTTTTGCATTACGGGTTTTAATGTATGTTTTTTTTTTGGGTGGTCAAACACGGGGTTTAATGTATGTTAGCTTAGGGTATTAAAAAGGAAGTAAAGTTGGTTTGCCGGTGATTTGTGGGACAACGCGTCCGAGAGTACTGCGGATTAACCGGATATTGCCGGTTTCTGAAAGCTGGTCAACCGAGTAAAACCCCGTTATTAAATTCGATCCCCCATCTCTCATGCTCCGTTGTTATGGATGTACACTTATTTTAATATCATGTCTGTATATTAATTTTTTATATTCGAATGTCTAGTCTGATTGAGATAGCTAGTTAATGGATTTAACTATATGTTTTTGTACATGATTTCTGAGTGAGTTGACCATATTGGTAATTTGGTATTGTGACTTGAGTATTTTAGTTGTGAAAATACACTAGACTCAGTATTGCATCAAACCTTTTAACTATTAGTTAGTCACATTATTGTAATTAAAGTTAGTTAATCCGCATTATCTGACAAATGTCATGAATAGTTTGTTGGCATACCAAATATACAATACAACGATGATCGCCGTATGTAAAATCAATAACGGCTGTATATAGTAAATTGTGATATTTTTACGTTACTTTTACAAAAGTAAAATATTCTCCTTTTGCCACAGAACCATCATTTTGTAGTGTTTTTCCTTATCGACAATGCAAACGTACGTAGTGTTAGTGATGGTCTATTACAAAATCTTTACAATTATATGCCACGTCAGCTAAAACATATGTCAAAGTCTATATCTTTTTTCTTAACATAAAGGCTATAAATCTTCATAACAGTTATAGTCGTACATGTAATTTTAAACCTTCTTAAAAGTGTTTATAACTTTATAAATACATTTGTTTTTTTTCAAAAAATAAATATCCAGAGTGCAATAAAGTACAGTGAAACCTCTATAAATTAATAATGTTGGGACTACACCAAAACTAAAATTTTTATTAATTTATAGAGATTATTAATTTATCGAGATATTAATTGAACCAAAAATTCAATTTGGGACTATGAAATTATATTAATTTATAGAGATATTAATTTATAGATTATTAATTTAAAGAGGTTATACTGTATATGGATTGCAGAGTACTAAAAGTTCTAATTATCCCATGACGAGTTATAACAAAATAACGATTATACCCTTCATTTTTCCTCAACGTCCATGCCATAGTTTCACCTTCCTTTCATTCTCCTCTATATATATCAACACTTCTCTTTCCTTATTCCTCACACTAAAAGCTCATAATTTAACTTCAAACCCATCTCTCTCATTTACAATCTGTGAGACCAAACCATGCCTGAGGCACCAAAGTATGAATCTTTAGATGCTTTCGATCTGACCCTCGACGAGAAGAACAAGAGGAAGCTTCAGTTAATCGAGGAACTGACCTCAAACGCCGACAAAGTCCAGAGACGTGTCTTAGAAGAGATCTTGACCCGTAATGCTGACGTGGAGTATCTCAGACGACATGACCTTAACGGTCGCACGGACAGAGAGACTTTCAAGAACGTGATGCCTGTTATAACCTACGAGGATATACAGCCTGAGATCAACAGAATCGCTAATGGTGATAAATCTCATATCCTCTCTTCAATGCCCATCTCTGAGTTCCTCACCAGGTTCGTTATTAACATATGCTCTGTTTTTGCTCTGTTTTTACTCTGTTTTGCTCTGTTTTGCTCTGTTTTACTCTGTTTATTCTGTTTTGCTCTGTTTTACAAGAGTTAACGAAGATTTTTATATGTTATTTGAAAGCTCTGGGACATCTGGTGGAGAGAGGAAGCTAATGCCAACAATTGAAGAAGAGCTAGACAGAAGATCACTTCTCTACAGTTTCTTGATGCCGGTAATGAGCCAGTTTGTTCCCGGTCTCGACAAAGGCAAAGGAATGTATTTCTTGTTCATCAAGTCAGAATCCAAGACACCAGGAGGCCTACCTGCACGTCCCGTCTTAACCAGTTATTACAAATCTTCCCATTTCAAAGAAAGACCCTTTGACCCTTACACCAACTACACAAGCCCCAACGAGACCATCCTTTGCCCTGACTCTTACCAGAGCATGTACTCACAGATGCTTTGTGGCTTATGCCAACACCAGGAGGTTCTTAGAGTGGGAGCTGTTTTCGCCTCTGGATTCATCAGAGCTATCAAGTTTCTTGAGAAGCACTGGACCGAGCTGGTCCGTGACATCAGAACCGGTACACTAAGCTCCTTGGTAACTGATCCTTCAGTGCGGGAGGCGGTTGCTAAGATCCTTAAACCGAACCCTAAACTCGCAGATTTTGTGGAATTTGAGTGTAAGAAGAGATCCTGGCAAGGGATTATCACTAGGTTGTGGCCTAACACAAAGTATGTGGATGTGATTGTGACAGGGACAATGTCTCAGTACATTCCAACTTTGGATTACTACAGCAATGGCTTGCCTCTTGTCTGCACAATGTATGCTTCTTCAGAGTGTTACTTTGGAGTGAACCTGAGGCCACTGTGTAAACCTAGCGAGGTCTCTTACACGCTCATACCAACCATGGCTTACTTCGAGTTCTTGCCTGTTCATAGAAACACAGGTGTTACTAACTCCATCAGTCTACCTAAAGCACTAACTGAGAAAGAGCAACAAGAGCTTGTTGATCTTGTTGATGTTAAGCTTGGCCAGGAGTACGAGCTCGTTGTCACCACTTATGCTGGTAAGACAAAAGAATCTTCTGTTAATTTGTAATTAAAAAATAGACATATTTCATAAATAGCATTTTTTAATCTTTATCATAAAATAACACTTCAATTTTTTTTCAAAATAGTATTTTTTTTATCAATAATAACAACGAATTGCCATACATGCTAAATTCAAAACCTAATCTCACCCCCTAAAATCTAAACCATAAAAGATTTTTTAATTTAGGGTTTAGTGATTATTTTTTGAGTTCAGTTTCAAGAGAATGAAGGTTAGGGTAAAGTTTAGGATTCAGAATAATTTAAATAAATTTTTGCCATTTAAGTTATTTTCTGTTGCTTGATAAAAAAAAAACATTTTCTGTTGTATGATATTTTTGCCATAATTTATTTTATGATATCTAAGATATTTTCCCTAAGAAAATAGAAAATTTTCTATTAATTTATAAAAAAAGAATTACACTTGGGTGTAGTCTTATGAGTGTGTGCTTTGTGATTTTGTTACAGGACTTTGTAGATACAGAGTTGGTGATTTGTTGAAAGTGACTGGATTCAAGAACAAGGCACCTCAATTCAGTTTCATATGCCGCAAGAATGTGGTCTTGAGCATAGATTCCGACAAGACCGACGAGGTTGAGCTTCAGAACGCTGTAAAGAACGCAATGACACACCTTGTCCCATTCAATGCCTCACTCTCTGAATACACAAGCTATGCGGATACAAGTTCCATCCCTGGACATTATGTCCTGTTCTGGGAGCTATGTTTGGATGGAAACACACCGATCCCTCCTTCTGTCTTTGAGGATTGCTGCCTGGCCGTGGAAGAGTCTTTCAACTCTGTTTATAGACAAGGAAGGGTTAGTGACAAGTCCATAGGTCCACTTGAGATCAAGATTGTTGAGTCAGGGACATTTGATAAGCTCATGGACTATGCTATTAGCTTGGGAGCATCTATTAATCAGTATAAGACGCCGAGATGTGTGAAATTTGCACCAATTATTGAGCTGTTGAACTCAAGAGTTGTTGATAGTTACTTCAGCCCCAAGTGTCCTAAATGGGTTCCTGGTCACAAACAGTGGGGAAGTAACTAAGATGGAATCAGGAACCGTGAAGAGATAGTTTTTCTAAATAGAAGGTTTGGGACTTGCAAATTATGTCTTTCTAATCTTATTTTTAGTTTAATTTTTTTTTTTTTTGGTATTCATTTATGCATAGCCCATGCTGAATTTAAAAACTAGTTGTACAAAAGCAAATCACGTTTCTCCAAGCAACCCAATCACTTTCTTGAGCCTCTAAACTTACTATTTTAATGCTTTATTGACTGGATCTTATATCGTTAGCAACGTTAATTAAATTGCGATTTGCTAAGTCGATTTTCTTGAAAGAGGAATACACGTTTCTTATAACAACATTGTGATCACTGCTTGTGTTGGATTTGCTTGACAAAGCAAAATTATGGATGAGTTGAAGTAAAATAAAGATGGCGCACAAAGAAATTTTATCTTCAAATTTTCACTGGAAACAACCGATGATTGTATATGAAATCATAATAGTTTACATTTGTTGTCACTAACCTAATGATGCTATTTTTTTCCGACTGGTATATAACTTCAGACATAATATAGTCTTTAAGCTAATTCACTCTTATAAATATGACGGATTAACCATGAAGAATGAATACAATCTAGGAAATAACAAAAACAAACTAATATTACTATTTTTTGTAACATTGATAGAATCTCAAATACATTATCATATGATCTATATTTTATTAGATATGATGATCAATTATCTATAACATATATGATATTTGATGAACAGCTTTATAAATAAAGCTTTCGCGATGTAACTATCCTCATAACATTCAGATCGACATATGATTCTACTTATACAACATTTTCGATGGATATGTTTTCTGCATAGCACACAATCTGAATGATTATATCTACATCCCTCTAGAACTTTCGTTACGCTTTGTATTTTTTAAATCTGCAAGGGATAGAATCATACTTGAAATATGCCTAACTGATATTGTATAACTTGGCTCTTTGAGCATATGCCTAACTGATATTGTATAACTTAGCTCTTTGAGCATGATCAGAAGGAACGTACGTAGACGCATCCACAATTAAATAATTTCCCAAAATTTTCATATATTAATATTATCATCTTGAAAGTAGCGATAAATATTAAAGAGAAGATAGATACATTCAGGTCTAGATACAAGTGTTCCCTAAGTAAGCATCAAAGACAACAACACTGGCCTGGAGTTAATGTTACATTGGCAGGTCCATTTTTAGTGACATATAAACAACCCATAAATTGACATATGTTATTTTGTAATTTCAAAACTTCTTTAAGTTGCGTACCATTCTCTTTTCTCTGTAAACAATATTTTATTATTCGGTGTAAGTTGGTACCTGTGGCCTGTGGGATCTGACTTCCTGTTCCTGTGTCGAGAGAGACATTCTTTAATCAAAACTACGTAATATTTAAATTTCCTTGTCGACTCGTGGACGGGGAAACAAAACTTGTTAATTTCAATAATGGAGCAATGTACACATTTATGTCATACTAGTGACGAAGAAGATTAGACTATGTATTATGAGATAGTGTGACTCTTCTAACAGCTATCACACCCTTTACAATAAAAACTATACGTATGACTTTTAACAGATAGCGACCCAAAATCCAATTATATTGAAGTACAAGTGCAGTGTATTGTCTATCATATCTAAGATACTTATCTATGTAGAGACAATGTTTACCGTTAAATGTTTGCTGTAATGAAAGAAACTGTACTTGAGTACTACTGAGCCACTGACTTTAAAGATAAGGTTGTCTTGTCTCATGTCACAAACCATTCTTCAGTATGATTGATAATTAGAAACAAAAATCATTGGAGACTTAACTGTAGCTTTGTTAATACTTTCCTTTTACTTTCACTAGTGTGGAAATATTCTGAATTTCACATTTATCCTTTTTAAAGGTAAATTATGAAAATGAGAGATAACTTTTTTTGTAAAGTCGCTTTAATGAACATAATCTTTCAAATTTGTTTTGGTGTAATAATCTTTCAAGTTTTTTTTGGGTGTAATAATCTTTCAAGTTTTCATCAAGATCTATCCATCCATGTATATTTAAAATCTGATTACATGACCCAAGATGGCGAAGTCATAGGTGTAAACCATTAGTCAAAAAAACATCTGAATAGTATAAAGTGTTTACTTGGGGCAAGGGCAAAAACAGCTATGGCTCGAGGATAATAAAACTGTAGAGAAGTTCCGGGCGCGGGAATCTAAAACCAACAAACCCACACAGAACCGACCGGTTTACTGCTACTGTCTGTGGGGACTCAAATACAGAGTCAGGTGTAGGGTTTTCTCCATAACAACCCTTTCAGATTGCAACAAGTGTCCACAAGCTTGCTTTGACTGGGAGCCGAAAAACAGGTTAGCACACGGCTGTTCACGTGATACTGTCTTTTTGTTTTACATTGTCTTAAAGTTGTGACAGATCGTTTATTATTATTTTACTGTGTGTGTTTAAAAGAAAATTAGGTATATACAAATAATCAATTTAGGGAAGCTAAGAAAATTAGTTAAACAAATCGAAAGAGGTGGACAGTAAGAAAAAATGAAAAATTATTTGATAAATTCTGTAAAAACTACTTACTCAAAAAAATGTTGTAAGAACTTAGGGTGAGTATATTATTAATGTCAAAAAATTTAGAAGCTCATTTGTGTTTTATTATCCTTAATAGCTACCAAAACATCTTTGTTAAAGAAAAAACTACCAAAACATCTATCCATCCATCAAAAATACCCATCAACAAACGAACACTGCAAAGCATTAGTTAAATTTTGTTATTAATAACAATATATTAGACTAACTGAAAACTGTAAATAGGTTTTAAGTACAGTTGCACATATTATCTATAATAATAAAGTTGAGTTATCTGCCTTTTTAGGCGTCCACATCACTCTGGAGGGTGGGGGCTTTCTTGCCACGTGTCGCCGCGCTGATTGGTTTGTGTAAGTCACGCGTTTTGGTTTCATTGGGTTTTCTATAATCTTCGTCGTCGAACCAGAGCATTTAATCACAGTTACTTATTCCCCCACGCGTTCCTTGCTTCGCAAAAGAAAGCTCAGTGGGCGGTGACGTGAATCGACGGAGCTCAGACCTTCGCGGAGAGGAGCGTCGCCTGCGCCAAAGGGATCTTCTTCTCCGGTAGCTTCTGCTCGATCTTCTGGCTCACGAAACGAGGGCTTATGCCTGGTTTGACCTTCTCCAACGAATTGATCTCTCGAGACGACGGCTTTGCTCTGCGATTTCGCCTGCCTGATCTACACCCTCCTGAGGACGAAACTCACGGAGGAGCGTGTTAAGTCGATGAGACGCCGTCGAGATCGAGAGGGAGTTTGTGCGCTACGCGCTCCCGTGCGCGCTGGTGGGGATGAACCGTGACCTGATGAGTCAGTATATCGAGTTTGTGGCGAATCCGTTTGATTGGATGGAGTTGATCTCTCTTCAGGGTAAAACAAACTTCTTCGAGAAGAGAGTTGGTGATTACCAGAAGGCTTCTGTTATGTCGAGCGTTAATGGAGGTTGCGCGTTTGATAATCATATGCTCTCTCTCGACGAAGACTTTTAGATTTGATTTTTTTTTTGTCAACTTTTTGATTTGATATAATAATAATTTGTTGTGACGATTGTATCATTTTAATATTCCGTGAATTATCAATCTTGAATTTTACCGTGTATTAACGCTTTCAAGAAGAAGACCACTACAGAGGTAAAAGCTTGATTTCTTTGAATTCTGGATCCTGATGATAAACTGATTTGTCATCTATAGATTATCGTAACTGGCTATAGGATCCGTTTTACATCATTCAACCCCGTAAACAAACCCAGTTTAAAAAATCAGGCCTGATTAGCTATTATCTGAACATGTTTCAGGTTTCCGATCGACACCTAAAGTTTACCAGAGAAATTTGTCTTAGGAGACTTTGAGGAACAAGATTCAGAATCACGTGAGATAAATTACTGGAAAAGTAAAAAACTTTAAGATCTGAGAAGTCTCAGATTTCTAATAGGGATGATAATATTTTCAACAAAGTCCCATGGAAAATAAATCTCTTATCTTTCTTTTTTTGTTATACATGCTGTAAGAATGTATAAGACAAGTATTTGGGGGAAAGATTTCGTCAACAACGAACCTATGAAGGATGTCTCAGGTGGTGTGTACTGGTGAGATGAAAGTGGTAGGACAAGAAAGAGCATGTTCCTACTGAAATGGTAAACGACGTGAAAAGACATATTTAATTAGATCTTTGTTTTGTTCGGCTGTAGATAAGATTCTCCTGCTTTTGAATTATAGAAAATGAGTGCAGGTTTTTATTATTTTGATAGCAAGTCTGGAGCAAAAGGTTTTCTTTCCTTATCTGAGCTCTCTACTTCATCAAATATATGCATACAGTCACTGTTTTGTCACACTGAGTTCTCACATGTAGACATTTCATGCTGGTTCAGATGATATGTTTCTGTACAGATATGCAAAAATTTAAAAGAAACTGAGATCAAATACCTGGAGCAGGACTGTACTGGACTTTGAATATCTCAAAACTAATGATTCAATAAGTGGACTCACCATTTCCGGCTTCTCATCCTACAAAATTTACAGAAATACAACAATAAGAAGAAGAATCGAGGGTTACTTCATTGGAGAGAGAGGAGAGACATGAGGAGAGTGACGGGTTTCAGGCAGAACAACAAACTCTTCAACCGCATCAAAATCAACATAAGCTCCTCCAAGCTTGATTGGCTCACATGAACAGTGAAAACTTTAAAGAATTTGGTTTTAACTATGGCTAAGGAGTAAGATCAGAGTAACGCACCTTGATCTGTGGGAGTAAATCATCTGCAAGCGGTCGACCAGAGTAACCGATGAATTCAAGGACGACATCAACTGCACCAGGCTCAAGACCTGACCGTGGAATTGCCTCAACTAGCTCATCCGTTACTTGAGCTATCATAGTAGCACTAAATTGCAAACAAATATTCCTTAAACTCACTTAAAAGATGTAAATAATCATGCAACTTACAACAGTATTGTCAAATGCCTGGCTAAGAATGCTTCTTACTGTCTCAGGTTTAGCAATGCTCCTGAAAAATAGTTTTCCAACTGGAGTATTCCTGAATTCATCTAAAATATTACTGAAACTTCTATATTTTACGTTTTGTTTTTATCTGATTAAAAATATTTAAATAATATAAATAGTGATGTTTAAATATAACCAAATATAAAATAGTGATTAATATAATAAAAATTCAATAATATCTATTCGTGATTTTTTTTCTCACATATTACCATGGAAGGTTCTAATAAAAATTAATATTAAAAATTAATATATTAATATATAATCAAGACTAATTTAAAAAAATAGTTTGGAAAAAAGAAATAATATCATAAAAAGTACACATTGTCTCTTAACCATGTACTATTCACACTTAATCAAATAATTCAAGTATTTTAATGACTCGATAGTTGAGAGCATGAAATTCATGTTAACATACCATGTGATCCATCACCCCAATTCAACATACTTTATTGAAAAAACAACCCAATACGTGATGAATGAAGTAAGAGACGACAACATTATCTTAGCTAATGATCTCCAAGTTAGTCTAACTATCATACACTACAACCCCAACGCAACATCAAGATTCGATGTTGATCTCACCATCACCAACCTAGAGAGTACCAATAGGCCTCCAACTACTGAAGAGATAAGCACTGTATGCATTGTATGCTTCAGAGATTACAACGATGCATTGATCAGTGGCTTTGTACCAAAATAAGTTGTCCGGTTTGCATAGAAAGTAATCTATGGTGCTTGCACATCTTACAATAGTTTGTGGGTTCTAATTTCCAATAGCACTTTTGTTATCTTCTTTACTTTAGAATTTCTCTCTTTTTATTTTAAATCTAAGTTATTTGTCTTCATCTAATTATTTTCCTACTTCGCACTTTATCATCCAAAAAAACAGCAACCCCAAAAACACTTCATACGTAGAAATGTAAAATATATAAAAATTAAAACATCAACCATGACAACTATTACTACAAAATACAATGACCTTCCAATAAATCTTCGCTACTTTACCTAGCTGTACTTTCTTACTAACACTTGTATGCAAAGTTGACTAGGCCAAAATATGAATACATCAACTTAACATGGTTTACAAATTTAATCAGAGAATGCAGTTCCAGCTTATTAGACAATACAATGTACGAACCCGGCGCATAGCGCCGGAAAACCACTAGTTAATCTATAAATTTAATATGTCATGATTCAAAAATATATTAGCGGTAAATTAGAGTGTTTGTACAGTTTTAATTGAGTCGGTTCATGTTGATGATAAAAAAAGAATATTGGATGCTAAAGAGGTAGATTAGCTACTGGGAGGAAATGCGTTACATACAAAGGAAAAAGAAGTTAGCAATGACGGCCTAAGATGGATTGAAGAGACAAAGAATATTGGAATTATAATTTGTATATTTATGATATATTATTGTGAATCACAATTTGTGATTGACCAAAAAAGAATGATGAATGATTGTGATTATAGAGAAATTTGTGATGGCGGAGACAACAAGTCGGTGTAGGATTTGGGAGGCCACATTTGGAGTTCACAGTTGAACTTATCTGCTCAGACTACGTTGATTCTGACCCCGCACGTGTGGCGTACATTGTTCTGGTCTTCTTTGGGGCGTAAATAGTAGGCCGTTACGAGAGATCTTGGCCCATTGTTACTGTTGAAGTAAAACGACGATCGCTGAAGAGTTCTTCAATACCAATCTTCTTTTTATCATCTTGTAGAAGACAAACATGGATATATACCTTTTGGATTTATCAAATAACCGAGTCAAGCAATTTCTTTGATAAATTCTTTACATCAGTTTCAACATAACTTAGTGCAGATATGCATGCTTAAGTTTATCCACAAGCTAGTTCATCTCTTCCATAATCAAGTTTTTAAGGGTCAGTTTACACACTGCAAATTTGCAATAACCAATTAACCAGTCTATCATTTATGGATCTCCACGAAAGATTAAACTATAATATAACATAGTATTTTAACATTAATAACGAAACAGTAAACATGCCCATGTTAATGATTTTTGTTGCTATATTGGGACGATGACATGAACATTATAGTATTATTAATAAGATAATAAAATATAAATAAACAATTTCATCATGGGTTGTTTAAAATTGGGACATTAGAAAATACATTGCATCCACGCTTAATGCGATATGCAATGTTTTTATGTCTCAAGCCCATTGTTTTTCTGGAGAAAAAAAATCATAAATATCTTCTTCTCTTGTCTTATAATTTAATCGAACCAATTTGTTAGTCCACGACCAACCACATGAAGTTTGATTAAATATTTTAATATGCCAACTTACATGAACTATGATGATAAAGAAGGTTACGCTAACCAGTGTGACGGTAGTAATTACTAATTAGTAATTACTATCCTTTTGTGATCATATTTTGATTAACTAGTCAATTCTTTCTATCATATGACCCACATGGGTTTTCTTGAATCAATGAGTTTGATTGCTTTAGGCTATCATCATTTCGACTTTTCGTTTTGTCCTAACAATTGATATGTCAATTTAAGAATCGCAGGATTTGATATATATATTCCACTCTATGTATATATAGTTCACTGCACTTACCTAAAGTGTTTTGTGTTCCATTAATTTTGTTCGTTTAAAGCATGATTGCCAACTACTTACTATCTTTTCACTATACTGGTTAAAAAATTAAGAGTTATCAACCTAATTAAAGAGAGTCCCTTTGATATTAAAAATCTATCTAGATAAAATAATCATCATCAAAAGAATTAATACTTAATTTCCGGGTCTTGCACATGCAACAGCTTATACCCAACATAATGTTGTCAGTCTTTCATACAGCATTGGAATTATTATGTGAGATTCATTAATATTAAATTCAGGGCTAGTTTAATTTGGATTGTTATTCCCTTTCTTTTTGGCGTTACTTTCATGGATTATTTGGATATGCTATTGTATTTGGCCAAATTAAGTAACCCCTCTTCAAGTTACAATTATTTTGTTTTATATGTCTCGATCTATTAGTCCATATTATATTAACTAAGTCGTAACTCAAATCGAATAAACCAATTTGACCATCCATGTTCGACTACTAAACATACGTTAAGTTAAAAGAGTAGTTTTGGTCCCCTCGAACTTCTCCTCCCTAGCTCATAGATATATGACCAGTCCACAAAGACTTATTTTAACATTTTAGTATAGTAATAATTCGGTAGGTAAAGTTGTCTATCAACAAAGCTATGTATGCCTTTAATTTAACTAATTCTGTGGGCAGAGTTAAGGCATGGTGCGGTTTTCACCCTAACGGTAACTTATCCGTTTATTACATGTGATGATGGTTACTGTAATGCAAGCAAAACAACTGCCGTGATCTTACTGAACACACCTGAATTTCTTTCCCGTATCAAAACAAAAATGATACAGTTTATGTCGCGTAATGTATATATTGTATCTAGATGTGTCTTAAATCTTTATGCACCAGTAAAAACGTAACATTCGTTGGACTTTCGTTAATTTTTGTGTTGTGCGGGGCGTAATGTATGTACGCAATAGATGTTGCATAATTTATATTGCGTAATGTATACGTTTTAAATTTCTGTGCACCAATAAAAATGCAGTATTCAGTGCATCATTCGTTGAGCCGACATAGATGCTATTAAAGTTGACATATGGAAGTGCGGGACCGCAGACGCTGCAGTACGGTATGTCTTCTTAGTTTAAGAAAACTAGGTGATTTTCCCGTGCTCATGCACGTGTATTAATATTCATAAAAGTAAAATTTTATAATAATTGATTGATATTTAGTTTTAGTTTTTTTTTTGCATCAAAAGGATGATCTATTGATTTTTTAGCTATTATATTATTTGAGAAGTCAGTTTCCTATGTGTCGCGCTCACGTTAACTCTCGCGATGGTTGATTACTTTGATACCCTTAATGAATTGTTAGATTTTAAGATTATTATTAATTTTTTTCTTTAGTTTCCTTTTTAATTTTTTCCAAATAACATATATAATAAAAAGGAAATATTTCTAAAATTGTAAAACAAAATTAAAAACGAAAATCTATGTTTATAATATGATTTTATTAAAAAGGAAAGTTCACAAAATAGTAATACCCCTACTAATATATATTTTAAATAACATAAAATATATTTCACAAGAATAAAAATATATATGTTCTTACACATTCAGAAATTTATCAGTTACACTTTATTTTCTACTATTTTTTTAGAAATCAACATATAATTTAATAAATATTATGAAATACATGTATATTTAAGCGAAAAATAAAACTAATTTGATTTGACTTAACTAAAATAAAGAGTAAATAAATATTATGAAAATATATGTATATATAAGNAATAAAAATATATATGTTCTTACACATTCAGAAATTTATCAGTTACACTTTATTTTCTACTATTTTTTTAGAAATCAACATATAATTTAATAAATATTATGAAATACATGTATATTTAAGCGAAAAATAAAACTAATTTGATTTGACTTAACTAAAATAAAGAGTAAATAAATATTATGAAAATATATGTATATATAAGTGATAATAAAACTATTTGATTTGACTTAACTAAAATAAAAATTAATTATACTTCAATTTTAGTTTAAAAATATATTTAACTCAATATACTCACAAAATGAATGACTCGACTAATCTAATTTATATCCAAAATTAAACATCTAACTACAATGAGAACATATAATTTTATAATAATTTAGTTTTTTTTTTTTTTGCATCAAAAGGATGATCTATTGATTTTTTAGCTAAGTCTGCTCGATCCTTTTAGTTTTGAATAAATTTATATGTATAATTTATATTATTCTAATTATACATATGACTTTCGATATAATATTGTTGGTTTAATTATTTTTTGGATCAATGGTCGGTTTTAACAATTTGGTATATTGGATAATATCGATTTTTTGAATTTAGCTATACTATTTTTATTCTAAATATAATAAAAACTTTGATTAATTTTCTTATTTTCATTTCGGTTGGTTGTTGTCTTAGATATGTAAATATATTTTAGTTAAATTATGTATAACTTAATATATATTGTGCTTAAAATGAAATAAATAATAAGCTGAAGTCTTTGATTCAAGATTACATAAATAAATATAATGATAATATTTTGAAGTCTCATGCATATATATAAATTCTACAAAAGAATTAAATCAAATAGATTATTTAATATTTTCTCTTTAATATTTTAATATGCTTTGAGTCAACATATAATTTATATGTATAAAATCAAATGGATTATTATTATTATTATTATTATTATTATTATTATTAGTATTCTTATTATTATTATTATTATTATTATTATTATTATTATTATTATTATAAAATTATATGTTCTCATTGTAGTTAGATGTTTAATTTTGGATATAAATTAGATTAGTCGAGTCATTCATTTTGTGAGTATATTGAGTTAAATATATTTTTAAACTAAAATTGAAGTATAATTAATTTTTATTTTAGTTAAGTCAAATCAAATAGTTTTATTATCACTTATATATACATATATTTTCATAATATTTATTTACTCTTTATTTTAGTTAAGTCAAATCAAATTAGTTTTATTTTTCGCTTAAATATACATGTATTTCATAATATTTATTAAATTATATGTTGATTTCTAAAAAAATAGTAGAAAATAAAGTGTAACTGATAAATTTCTGAATGTGTAA